CAGATGCGTAAGGAGAAAATACCGCATCAGGCGCCATTCGCCATTCAGGCTGCGCAACTGTTGGGAAGGGCGATCGGTGCGGGCCTCTTCGCTATTACGCCAGCTGGCGAAAGGGGGATGTGCTGCAAGGCGATTAAGTTGGGTAACGCCAGGGTTTTCCCAGTCACGACGTTGTAAAACGACGGCCAGTGCCAAGCTTGCATGCCTGCAGGTCGACTCTAGAGGATCCCCTGCACCATGGCGCCGACTGAAAAGGCGACGCGCTGCGTCTTCCGCTCTCTAACGCGTGTTAATGGAGCGCGATTGCGACAAAAATAGAGACGTTCGTAAAAATTGGCTGGAAAACTGGAAAACGAAACGTTTTTAAAGAGATTGAAACGAAAAACAATAAAAGAAGAGCGTGACTACAATTGTTATTAATTTCTAGGTGAAAAGTTATGTCTCCGACAAATAGGGCCTATTTAGGTGTGTGAAGTACTTTTTCCGTTACACAGACAAATCTGGACCATGAATGGAATTGAAATCAACAAGGAATTATTTGTCGATGTTGACAACGGGACGTAATGTAGAAACCTTCGCCGAATTTTTGATCCTTCCAGTACTTTTCCTTCAATGTTGTCGTGATTTTCATTGTTTCGCCGTTTTCGGACCGGAAACTAAGAAACTCAAAAATCGGAAACGGAGCAGTTTTTAAGAATTGTTTGAGTTTTTTTTTGCAATTTAGTTTGTTTTGTTTGCTTTAGAATGAAAAAAGTTATCATCGAAACAAAATTCAGTACAAAATGTGAAAAAAACACCATTTTTTCGAGGTTTTCCAATCTCTTTAAAAAACTAAGAGCTTTTTCAAATAAAGAAAACGGAGCGTTTGTAGTAAAAATATCATTGAGCATTTAGGTTTTTAAATCAAAAAATTTAGTAAAGTGCGAACCAAGTTATCATCATTTTAAAAGGTCCTGTTTTTTACTACTGGAGTACTGTAGCTTCGCAAACAACGAAGACAGGCGTTTATTCTGAACGGGTTGTGAATCAGAATCGTACCCCTTGTTATCACAATATTTAAATCTGTGAAAAAAAAATAGTTTTGAGAATGTTTGAAAAATCGGCTTTTGAGTTGTGATGTGTTTGCCGAGCAAAGAAGGTATGCGTTGCCTCATGAGCCATAACTCGCTTGAAATTGGTCCAAACTTATTGAAATTTTTAGAGGATGTGAATCATGAGTTAATTAACGTTTTTATCGAAAAACAGTAAGTTTTGAGAAAAACCACTCAATGGGCACTTGACTTTCGGCCGTTGGGAGTTTTTGTGAAATTTGGGAAAACTTTTTGTTCTCAATTTTCATTGTGATATTATGATTTTGTTTACCAACACATTAAACACACCCTCTAAAAATACGAAATACTTTGGATCATTTTCAGGAGAGCTGTGACTCATGAGCGGGGCCATACATTTCTCTAACTTTGAGCCTATATATCTCATTTGCTGTAGGAGATATCAGGAAATGGTCCACTAACAAAATTTTAATAATAACATCTCCAATATTTTATCACTGGGCGACTTTTTGATATCTCTCACAGGAGCCAAGATAATTGAGCTCAAAGTGAGACTATTTGAGCTCTCGATTGCTGTGAAAGGTATCAAAAAGTGTTTTACTGTAAAAACACGAATAACATTATAATAAACATTTTGGTAATTGACAACTTTTTGATGTCTTTCACAGGAACCGAGATAAGCTTGATCAAAGGTGACAAAGTTTCACAGCCATTGCCACACTGGTAACCTTGACATATATTATCTCGGTTCCTGTAAAATATATCGAAAAGTGATCAAAATATATCGAAAAGTAAAATATATCGAAAAGTGATCAACTGAAAAGTGATCAAAAGTGATCAAAATGTTAACCATAAAATGAACAATATTTTCTCAGTTGACAAATATTTGATATCTTTCACAGTAATCGAGATAATTGAGTTCAAAGTTGACGGTTCGATTGGGCTCATAGAG